GTTATTATATATGTTTTGCCATGTGCTGTTGAATTGGAACTGACCCATAGTTGACTTTCCAGTGGGTTTTTAGAGACACACATTTGAGTTGATTGACATCACCTTCTGCAAAACAATTGGATTTAAACTGCCTACCTTTAGGCTGAAAGCACATCTCCTAAAAATACTCTCCTCTCAACCAAGCTTTGGGGTATTTTTTTTAAACAAAAAGTGTTTTCCACATGAAGAGTTAATATTCATTTTCCATAGTGACCCAATATGTTTTGTTGTTGTTAAGTGCTGTCGGGTTGTAGATGACCCATAGCGACCCTATAAATGAAAATCTTGAACACAAACTTTCATCTTTTCTCCAAGTTCATAGAGTTTCTGGAGGCAGGTTTATTTTGGAGGTGGATGCCACTCCTGTTTCAAAGCCTGTTTTATCTGGGAGATCCACACCTTAGCAGAATCTGGCCATTCCACTCATCTTCCCAACCCAGAAATAGCCCCCGACTGGCATCTAAAATCCTTTTTAAATACAAGGCCAAATCCAATCGGATCACACCCTGTTGTGAACAAAAGCCATACCCTAGTCTCAACCCCCAAATAGAAAACATATCTTAGCAGAATCTGGCTGTTCTACTCATCATCCCAGCCTGGAAATAGCCCAGTGACCCAGTATAATCAGCTAACTATTCTGTAGCCCCCACCTCATTTAGCAGGTAAATAACCTAACAATCAGAATCCGAGGATTTGCTAAGAACCACAGCCTAACACACTAGAATCACCTTAGCTCTCTCATTTTGAAAGTTCCAGTCAGATGCTGAGCATAAAACCAAGTTTTTTGCCCACCCCTTCTTTTGAATAATGAAAAGTTGGAGAATTTCTTTTCAAATTAATTGGTGTGTACTCACTTTATTCTCTTACAGGAGTTCAAGAACTTGGGCACAAGATTATGCAATGGCAGCAAAATAGCAATGAAAAGATAAGACTAAAAGACTTCATTGGGGAGGCATCTAAGGAATAATAAGTCAGTAGGATGGAATTAAGAGAATGAGAATTACTAATGGGGCATGATGCAGCTAAAGTGATGGTAACAGGGTGGATCAAAGATGATAATAACAAGACTAGAAGCAATTGAAATGGCAAGGAAGAGAGGGTGGGTGTGATGCCTGAGCAATACAAATGGCCTCTTACAAATGAGGGCAGAGTGCACTTACCCAGCTGTGAACAGTGTGGTGAGAAAATATTAAGCTGATTCAATTACACAGCCTGAATAATAACAGCAATAATAAAAAAAAATAAAATATAGGCAGTATATTATGGGACATTGGTCTCCAACTGGTACATAAATGCTGAAAGTGGTTGAACTATTTTCTTCTTTTCAAGGCTAGAAGTTAATACCAAATAATCAGTGGAGGTTTAAACAATGTTTCTACTTGACACGGTTAGGACTAAGACACAATTGTTCACTGGGCTATTATTGACCTGCTCTATCTTATTACACCTAGGAAACATTTAAGACTCACCTACTTTTTAGTCAAAGAGGAGTAAAGCCCACTCTGCAGCTGAGGTTTTGTTTCTTCAGTATTCAGGAGATCAAATTTGAATGGGGACACATGCATTTGTCCTGCTTGTTTTGATTTATAATGATTTTCACTTTAGGCGTATCTTTATTCAGTCAAACTGCTAGAAGGAGTATAGAAAAGTGTATGCTAATTGTGTTGTTATATAGAGTTTGGGAGTAGTAAGGCTTTCTATCCCTAATGCTTTTTACTTTTCTGTAAGAGCCTTGGTGGAGGGTTAAGAGTTAAATCTGGCTTTTTTTATGAGATAAATAGAATATATCTTTAGGTATGAACTCTGTCAGTTCACTCAATTTATGAGCAATATGTGTAGGGATGTAGGACACAAGATTTAAGACTCCAAAATTCAAAAGGAAAGCACTTTCTATTTCATGTTCAAGAAGCTGCATCAAGAGGCAAAATTGATTGGTTGATCAAATACCAGAAGGGGTAAAAAGAGAGAATAATAAAAATCTATTGTGATAATATTTTTTACTTTAATATTACCCTAATCTGATATCAGTATTATGAAAGCACAAATTTGAAGAACAGTTGGAGTACTATTTACCAAAGCAAATTTTCTGAATGTGTAGCTAAAGCTGATGTGACCTAGAAGTCTTAAAACCAAGAAGACTACCTTTCACACAGGCCTATCTGTTTTGAGTTATAGAAGTAGTAACTGTGACAAAAATGCATGGTTTGAATTTGATCACCATTAATATACACAGAACGAGCTCTGGTGGCCTAGTGGGTAGGGGGTTGCTCTGCCAACTCCAAAGCACGTGGTTTGAATCCACTAGGTGCTCCACAGGAGAAAGATAGGCAATCTACTCCCTTTGATTTCCAGCATCTAAAAATCCACTGGAAAGTCAGCTGTAAGTTGATTCTGACTCTGAAAAGCAACAACATACGTAGATGTCCAAAAGATCTGTAGCCTTCGTGGTGAGTTTTCTCATGTTATCTGAGTCTTCTTAGGAAATTTTTGTTTAAAGCTTTTGTATTTTTGTATTTTAAATTTGAGTAATACATCTCTTAGATACTTTTGAGATAGCACGAAGGAAAGAAGAATACTTTATAGGAGGTATAATCCAGTGGGCCTGAAATTTATCAGTTTCATCATTGTTTCAGTAACTAAACAAAATTATATACCTATGAATATTCTGTTGTTTATTATTTTTTTTTCCCCTTTAGAGCGTGTTTTACCCACAATCCCCCACCCCATTCAAGGTCAGTATGGTTTTTAATCACTGTAGATCTTTAGCTGGGTCATTCTCCATCATCTATAACAGGAAAAATACATTCACAAGGTTTGCATACAAAAGATGTTTGGGTTTTTTTCCTTAAACCTTCAGTAGAAAAGAAATCACTTGCCCTGAAACCAGCAGATAGGCATGTAATAGGTGCATCACCTAACAAAACATTAAATCAGACAGTAGCTGCAGAGACATTGCTAAATTTGGAATGATTTATTTATTCGGTCTGTATTTAATGCAAGTAACTATGATCATATTCTTGAAACATAGCTGGTTAAATTCTTTCACAACCATGCCTACTCCTCCAAAATACAGATCCTCTTAATTGACCACCATTGCATTTGGAGGCTTATACAGTCTGAAACTGGATCCACTGCTATGATTTGTAAAGATGTATTAAAATGCTTCCAAAGGTTAACTCCACTAGATTACAACAAAGACATTAATCTTTCTTAAAATATTGATCTGTTAATGGAACTTTTCCAATGAAATGTAGCTATCTTAGAAAGCACACATTTTAAAAAGGGTAGGCATTCTGAATTCCTATTTATAAAACTCTACACACACAAATTAAGTTTTGCCTCCTACATCACATTTAGATGCAAGTTACAGCCACAACCTTCTAGCTTAAGGCTATTTAAAGGCAAATTGGCAAATAAAATTAAAACAATGCGAAAAAATTTGAAATGAAACCAACCTACCATTGAAATTAAATTCCAGAAAAGTGATTTGCAAATAACACTCAAAGACCTGAGAAAAAAATGGAAACTAGGCCATGCAGGACCTAGAGTAGAGAAAATAAATCCAATTAAACAAGATTATCGTACACAATATAAAAGAAATGTGCTCAGAATTAAAGGTAGGAAACTTCTGTTATTTATAAATTTGAAGACAGATCATGCTTCATTAACACTTGTTCAAATTAAAAATTAGCCCAAAATTGGGCGTAGATATTCCAAGGGTCAATAATGCAACACTTTGCATATGTATGTATTCACATTTGCAAACTTATTTTAATTATACTACAAATGAGGATTGCAATGTTTCAAGGATCAACTAGACAGTGTAATGAAAGATTGAACTTAAAGTTTAAGAAAAATCCACTCTATTTTTAGTATAAAAGCTTAGAAGAATTCTGTTGAATAAAATACATCCCTGAAATATTAATGGAATCTGTTTCTTACTTCAGTCACTAAAAATAAGCACTCTTAAAATATGCTTTCTTTGTTAAACTTGACACAAAACTTAGCACTCCTGGAAAATATTCCATTTTGAATTCCTGACATGTCATAATTATTTAAAGATATGTATTTTCTACTGCTACTGACTCGATTGACACCATTTTATCATGTTATCATCTTGCAAATATCTTGATGTGGCAAATACATACACATACATTTGCCCCAGTGGATGACACTTTCAAAGAGGTCAGACAGACATTATCCCAGATCAGCTTTGTACAGTGTCATTATCATGCTAGGTGTTCTTTGTAGGAGCTGTTGTGCAGACACAACCTCAAAAATCTATCATACGTTTTGATAAATGTTCATTTAACATTGAACACAGTGAAGCCAGGCAAACACTGTTCACAAGGATACCTGTTTGAGATTGCAAGCACTCTTGATAGAGCACGTGGGATTCTGTGGAGCTTTTGTGTTCCCAAACATTGAATTAGTGATTGGAGAATGACCCACGTTGGATTTTATGTTTTTGGTAGAATGTAACTAGTGTACTTAGATGCAATAGTTTTAGAATATAGTTTATCTTACTACTAATATTTGGGTCTCTGCTGGTGGAAATTGAAAAGCTGTTCATTGATACTTGGGATAACTGGTGTGAGAGGTTAGTAGAGTCCTCTCTCTAAGTTTCTCTGTTCTTTACAAGAATCTTAACTTCCAGTCAAGAGGGCTATTCATGCAAAATGCAGTTTCTTTCATGGAAAGAAACCCTGACAGCAGGATTCTTAATTATTTTTTTAGTGCTGCTTGAGCATACCTCACTGTGTATTAACTATTACACAAGACACCTTCATTTAATTAAATATTGTATATTTTCATCAGTCATGTGGAAGCCTAAATTTGCATCCTAAAGTATTAGCATATGTCTAAGCAGTTGGCTGATGTAAATGGCCTGAAGAATTTTGAATCCATTAATTCAATAAAAGTATGCAGTAAAGTATGATAAAGGCATAAGGAGTGTTTTCTACACACACCCTCTATAATTAAAATAAAAGAGAGAGAGAGAATCTCTTTTAAACAAATCTCTTTTCTACTTTGCCATGATTCCAACCTTGCAGAAATATGTGTAGTATCGGTTGCTCCTTCGTCCTCTCTCTGTTTGGAGGGTCTCCCTTCTTATCCTCTCTCTCCATGGCTCATCAAGCTGCCTGGTGATAAACAGCAGAGCCACAGCAGGAATTCAGTCCTAAACCCCTCCGAGCTGTGATTAAGCAAAAACAAGGCTCAATAAATCAAAATATATTTCCCTTGGGCTTCTTTCATCATATTGCTTGATTTTTCTGCAGTGACAATAATAATGATACCAATATCTGAAATTGCACCAAAGGGTAATTGGTAGAGGTGTAACCAGTCAGTAATTTTAAAATGTCCCTTTCTCCATCTGCCAAAGACAAAACAAAAATTCTACCTTCCCTGCTCCTTAATTGAAGGGATCTATATAAATAAATAAAATAGTCTTCCATCCTTGATCTGTTTCTGATAGGTGTTTTTCTCCATTAATTTTAATTTGGGTTTATTTATTCCAAAATGAGTCCTGAATTGCATATATTTGCATAACTACCTCTGACTCTATCACTGCAGAAAATCCAATGAATTGTAAAATGAGAAGAGAGGAGGTTCTAAATGTCTAAGGATGTCTTTTTACTTTGTCCCACTCTAGTCATTTTCTGGGGGGGCCTCTGAATACTTGGAAATAATAACACTGCTGCTTCCCAACACCCCGAAAGCTTCCTTCTGCAAAACTCTTTTTTTCCCTCAGGATGAAAGGGCGTTTGAAGACACCCTCTTCTTTAGACTGCGGGTTCAGATTGTTGTTGTTATTGTTTGTTGTTGTTGCTAATGTGCCACAGAGTCGACTGTGACTTCCATTGAGTAGCAGATCGGAGCGATGTCCTATCCTGTGCCATCCTCACGTTTTCTGAAACAACTGACCACTGTTGTTAAAGCCACTGTGTCAGTGACCATCTTGTTGAGGATTCAGAAGGATATGGCAAAACTAGCCTCAGAAAAATGAAAAAGGGGAAAATAACAAGGACAACTCTTTAAAAAAAATAATGGAAGTGAAATAATCCCTTGAGTTTGAGGCTCTCTCTACTGTCAGCCCACCTTCTCCTGTCTTGGCCACTTGAAAACACAACAGCAAAAATGCTGGAGTAGATCTCATTTGTTTGCCTCCCATCTGATTATTTATCCCAAGTGAACAGCCTTTCCATTCACTAACCCCGAGTGAAGAGTGGGTTTGGGAAATGTTGAGATTATCTTCCAGGCTCAGGCATCGCACTGGGTTTTTTTCACAGCTGCTTACCATTCAGTCCCTGTTTTTCCATTGATAAAACACATTGCACATGGCTGGGTTTGCATGATTAATACAGCTGTCTAAATCTCTCTGAAAACAAAACAACCTTCCAAATTAAAGTTTTTAAAAGAAATTAAGACTCAGTCCACAAGTAAAGCACGTATGCAATAATCTGAAGTCCACTTGCATACTTCCTGCCTGGTGACATGTTGTGTGGGTCCTGACCTGAGGACAGGGTGGGAAAGTGCCGGCATTCACCTGATACTTCCAGAGTCAGTTCTTGAACTCAGACTTCACTGCAATAGAAAGAAACTTCGAAAATTCCTCAACATCTTCCTTGCTTGAAAGAAGAATGGCTTATCCCTACAGCTTCATCTATTTAATTTATGCCCTGTAGGATATTATTCTTGGTACCTATAAGAAAATGCTATTTTTCAGCTTCTAATTATACTAGCAGTTTCACCTTGTCTGATAATAATGACAGTATTAATAGTAACAGTAGTTATCAGACACAACAAGTTTATTGGGAACTCTGGTGGCCTAGTGGTAAGGAGCTGCACTGTAATTTCAAAGGCGTGTGATTTGAATAAACCGGCTATTCCATAGGAGAAAGATAGGCAGTTCCTCTGGTGTGACTTACTGCTTGTGAAAACCCACTAGAAGCTCACTTACATGTCAATTACGAATCGGCAGTGCACATTATCAGTAATCATCTTAAATTCTAAGGGCTTTTGCATGCATTAACTTCCCAACAACCCTGAGAAAGTGACATGTACCTTCTCCTAATCGTTTTAATCACCAGAATGAACCAAATTCCAATGTACTCCTCTTTCCTGTCCCAGGCACATATACATTTTTTCCATACATTAGACATAGGCACAATGCATACAGTCATTTTCATTGAATATTTATCTGTCTTGCAAAGTTTAAATTTCCTCTTTATTTTATGTATTGTAAAGCCTGGACGACAGAATACTCAGTTCCTTTAACATATAACATGTATTCTTACAAAGTCCATTTTCAGATTTATTCAACACACCGAGAGATGTATGCCCAACGTACACAGAGATTTCTAGGAAAGCATTCATCTTTATAAAAACATGAGCACAGCTATCTGGCATTGGCACATCTAATTTCACACACTCATTCAGACTAATTTACATACACACCTCTATTAATCATGGATAATTACTAGCATTGTTCTCTGTAATTCAGTTTTTCCAACTGTGAAATGGGAAAGAAATTATATTTTTCATGCCTACAAGCTTAAAGTGGTGTTTTAAATAATATACCAAAATAAATAAGAGCTTCAAACTCTTCTTAAAAAAAAGTATATATAATTTCAAGCAATCAAATTCAGGTACACTTATCTCATAATTTTTGAAATCACCACTATAGAGGAATTTGCTTGCATCACCTGGCATAATCTTTGTCAATTCA